GAGATGACGTATAAAGATGCCAATTTGAAAGGGAAGCTGAAACATTTAGCTTATCTAAAGTACTATTTTTATAATAGCAGAACCATATTTAGGTAATGCATTCAGACATGGAATTAAGCTTTATTTACTGCATTCTATTCATAATTGATAATTCTCCATTTCCTGCAGATCAGACTGATGAGGCATGTACTTAATTTTGAAATTATTTTTTAAGAGTTTGCATGAACTGGCATGGCTGCACAAGCTTGATATTCACTAGGAAGATCTAGTCTGCTATGTGTGTATAATAACTGAGTGTGGTGATATGGTAGGTAAGGGGGGACAAGCAACGTTTTACCATCGCATTGCTAATAGCATTTTGTCTGTCTGTAAGTTTTATTTTTACAGTTCTACGTTTACAATCTATCAAAAGTCTGTCCAGACAAAAGAAGCTAAGCAAACTTTCAGAGAGAAATGGAGAACTGATTTTTCTCTTTTACCTCACTGGTTACATTGCTGCTCTTCATCTCTTGAATCTGATGCAATTTTTTAAATAACAGCACACATGCCATTGCTTCCTTACTAAACCAAACTCTAACCCGAAGTCTTAATATCACAAATAGAACAAAAAGGGTAATTATCTTGAAGTGTTTCTTGATAAAAATTGATACAGAGAAGACACAGAAACCTGAAGGATACTGGTTCCCAGATCACCAAAGTCTGAGGCTCACATCTGCACAGAATACAAGATGGAATCAGTTCTGCTGCAGGGAGTGGCTCTAGGGGATACCATGTTCTGCTGCCATATTTTTGGGGTAAAAGCACAAGACTAATGCATGTAGTTATGTTAATGAGCCGACTGACTTAGGAGGAGTAGAAAGTGGGTGACAACGAGTAAAACCCCTTTCTGCTCCTTTCCCTTTCAGGCACTGGGGAGGAAGGGGAGTGGTTTTTTTAACAACCGTATGTTTGCCGAGCAGGAAAGCTCAGAAAAGTAATTTGAGCCATTAGAATTTCCTGTCATCACACACCTGTTGTTCAAAGCTGTAGCAAGCCCATAGCACCTGTTCATATACCTGTTTCTGGGCTGGCTGTTAAGGTCTGTTTAAACCTAAGAAGAAGATTAACTTTATGCCAAAAGATACATGAAGGCAAATTAATTAAATATGATGAATGTAGCCTGATAAGTCTATTTGCATTTAAAATGTCCGGCTGGTATTTGTAGGCACATTTGTAAATTAACCACACGATTTTTCACCAATACAATCTTCCTTCCCCCTGAGTGCTTTGGAGAACTCCAATTCTTTTTTAATTAAACTTTAGTAAAACCAAACAGCCCAATTTAAAGCTTGTCAATACCATCTCTCCTTTCAGGTAGTGCAGTTTTAGACAACACAGATACATCAGGTGTCGTAAGACAGAAACCTTGAATTAGGGTAATTTGTTTAAAGATCACAAACATTTATTTAGAGGCCCTTATTTAATCACAGAGCTCTGTTTCAGCAGCTATAAAGTACTTGGCAAGTTCTAAATTGAGGTAAAACATCTTTAAAGGAAAGGTCGATTTCTTGGAGCTTTAAAAAAATGACATAAAGTAGAAGAAGTTGGTATTGCTAATGGTAAAAAAGCAGTTGGATCCCAAAAACGTGACATTTGCAGTGTTTTCTTATTCAGAATGAAAGTTATAGGAGTGGCAGTGCTCGAATATAAGAGCTTCTCAGGTATTTCCAAACTGAACTGACTGTGTTCCTGTATACCACTGCTCTCAGATTACCACCAGCACCACTGAGAATGCTTTCAAAAATGACTTAATGTAAGGGGTGAAAATCAAACCCAGCCAGGGAAGACTTTCTCATTAACTTCAGGGGCCTTTAGATCAGGAGTAGAACACTGGTGCAGTGATCTTTAAGAAAAATGATTAAAGAATCCAAAAGAGAGAGGAACCTAAAAGAAGAAGCTCTAGTAAGGGGTAGATCTGAGATCTTCATTCAGCTTCTATCATGCTGTAAGAAGAATGGGATATCCACAGAAATCCATTCTTTTCCCCAAAATCGGTTCCCACTCATCCAATCATACACTTTGCTACACTTGTAGCAATTTTTACAAGTCCTTATTGCTCATACAAAGAGCAAACATTTGCATTAATTTTGACTAATACTTGTGCAGAGAAAAGGCATAAAGGATCCTAATGCACTATTTTTGTAAAGTTTTAAGTCATAAACATCCATTTTAAACATACTTCTGCCAGACTATAATCTAAACCCTGCAAGTTCACAGCTAACAGAAATTAAAGCTGTATTCCTAGATCTAAAATGTAGAGAATTTGTTAATTTTATAAGCATTCTATCGTTTCATTGTACTATTCTCTAATTCTCCTGCTAAAGCTTCCATTCTGAGCTATATTATAAAGAGAAGCTGAGTAAAAGAGAAAAGGACTGCAAATGCTTTGAGGCATTTTCCCAGTATTTCTGTGTTTATCCACAACTTCTATGAGACTTAAATCTCTGGTAAAAGAGCAACCACCTAGTGCTATTGTACAAATGAGCAGATTCTAACTTTTGATATTGCAGGCAAGAAATCTTTCTCCCATCCTTTTCTGTTTTGTTGTTAAAAAAATTTCCAAGGAGTCATTAGAACTTGTCAGGTTGGCAAGGTATTACAAGAGGAGAGAGAAAACATGCTGTGCACATCACAGTCTGTTTCTCACCATCAGAAATGAGGGTCAGTTGGAATGAAAAGATCTCTAAGCTCCAAGGAAAAATTTCAGTGGAAGTAAGTAAGGTGTTTTATCATTTTTACCCTTTTCTCTACATGCTTTGAGCCTTTGGGGAAAAAAAGGGTTTGAAGATGCTGTTTCAGAGTCAGTTTAATCAACTGCACAGTACCTGGGACTTCAAGAACTTACAGGTATCACCTTTGGTTGGATTGATGGTATGAGCACAAATTGATAAAAACCCAGATCTAGAACAAGCAGGTCACATCATGTCACCCTGAATGAGATGCCAAATATCAGGCCCATCACTGGAGACAAGAAGAAATACGTGACCACACAGCATACATGCAATTCCCCTTTCCCGCTCTCCACGAGCTCTTTCAGTCCCACCGGCTCCAATCTCAGACACCACGGGCAGAGATGACCTGCACAGCCCACGAGTTTCACAGCCACTGCTGCTTTCAGCTGAGACCCTGTTGTCTTTCTGAGCCTCTCACCATGCCCTTCCCTGCTCTTTTCCTACCCCTCCAGCAGCATCTGTCATTCTCCCCAGGAGGTGGAAATGTCTTGCACCTTCCAAACTCACGCCATCCCCTGCTGCAGCCCCACATTGACCCCTCTTAAGTAAAGGGAAAGAGAAGCAATCACTTTTTTCCCCATCATTTTTCTGGCTTAGGCTTTTTCTTAGGTCAAAGAGAAGTGGAAATTCTTCCTATAAAGCAGCATTCACCCTGATGAGTGATAGTTGTTTGGGCAGCTTATTTCACAGCTTATTTAACCATAGATAGATCTGAGTCATTCTCCTAACACAACTAAATCACCCAGAGCCTGAAAAATGCCTAAAGCAACCGGAGCAATTACAGAAATACTAATCAGGGAGTACAGCCCAGATGAGATTCACCAGAGGTGTGTGGTACAGACTCTGTACTGAGGCTCTGGACCTGAGAAGCTGTCTGACCTGGAAAACCATTCCAGGAGACAGCAGCACATGCTGGGTCCACCCAGAGCACAGGGCTTCACACTACGGATGGTTTTGAAAACAGCAGCAGTACAAACATGGGGAAAATATGGACTTTTTAATAACTCTGCTTTATAGACAGAAGAAATAATAGTGCTGGTTTCTTCCAGCTGTCCACTAAGACAGCTGAGTTCATAAACAAAAAGTTCATAATCTAAGTGTAATAGATTTTGCTTCCTCAGGCAACACAGTGCTATGAAAGTGTTTAAAATGGACTTTTCTCTGTGTAATCAATAAAGCTTTCACAGAGAGATTGGTTCTGTTCCAAAGACTTTTTTAGCTACATGCACAGGACTCCCAAAGACCAAATAAGCCTTTTATCAATTTCTATTTTATAACTTTCTCCCATTTCTTTATAATCCCTCCTCAAAGTACACTGAGTTTATTGGTGAAAGATTTATTTAAATCATAATCTAAAAAAACCATTTCAGCTTATAGTTTGTAACTCAAATTTTCACTATATGCAACTGAAGGTTTACTGACAGAAAAAATATATGTGTTTTATGGTGTATTTCATGATATCCTCATTTAAAAACGCGTGCAGGGATTATTCTGCAGATAAAGCCTTACAGCAATGTCCAATATAAGTAGAATTTAAAATGTATCCCATAATGACATGTATTTACAAAGAGGACATGTGAAAGTATCAGATTTTCCCTCTGAGAGCAAGACAGGTCAGCCTGTTTCAAGCTTGCACTGGATAGGTCAAAGCATATTTAGCCTGTACCTGACTAAAATACAAATTCACAGTGCCACAAGCAAGTAATTTTGCTCTTCATCTTGTATAATACAAGGCAACAGTACAGAGCCTGGCCAGTATGTCCAGGATCAGCATACCTTTCAAACTCCTAACTGCCACTGAGGTGTTTGGGTCATTTTTTTTAACTTTAGATTTCCATCAAAAACTGGAGCTTTAAATTGGTAACATAACCAAAATCAGAATATTTGCATTCTTATCAAAATAGATCGATCTATATAGTTTTTTGGTATTTATTATAAAATTTTATCTTTTACTGTAACCGAAAGGCAAAATTTTTACTGGGCATACCACACCTAAAATTATAAAACTCCAATTTGGGCTTATATATATAAAATATATAAGTTATACATATAATTTCTGATAAGCAATTTTAATTACTTTTTTTGCATATATTTCAGAATAATTCATCTAATTTTATATGATTCCCCCTGGTTTCTCTTGCCACTGCAGAGGTCAAAACTCCACTGTGCTACATGTCTGCATACAACAGAACAAAGCCCAACTCTCAAACCCCCTGTACTTGCCCATTTTTCTTGTCCACATGTGCTTTCTTCCACACTAAAATCAAGCTGCTATGCAGAGGTTTTGCTCTCAAGAATTCTTTTCCACTGCTGAAATCATTATGCTGAATTTCACCTAGAGAAAATGGCCCAACAGAGAATTTAGTGGATATCTTACCCCTCATTCCACAATGCTGATAAAGACCATAAAAAGCTGACTTCACTACTTTTAATGAAAAGTAGTGGAAGTTTGACAGCGTTAGGACTAGTTAAGGTGTTAATGTAACATTTGGCTTCCCTCAGATGCCACACACTTTCTCTAATAGAATTACAGCAACAGAGACATTGATCATTCATTTTTATACACTATGCAGTCTCATTTCAGGAACTGAAAACTTGTCTGGATGCGAAGGAAAAATAAGTGCCTTGAGGTTCAATCCCACAGGTGCTAAATGCCCACAACTCTCAGAGAAATCATCTACCTGCTGAAATTTTAACCTGCTTTTATCCTTCTTTTGACTTCTCTCGCAGAAGGAGCTTGCAGAAATGAGGCATAAGGAATGATACCAGATTGTTTGCAGGTGGAAGCCACTATGGGATAAATTAGGGAGGAAATTTCAGGTCTAATGGTTGTTCTCCACTACCCCCATATGAGGCCACATTTAGTCCATACAAAAATATTCCTGGTGTGGAAATTGCAGTGCCCACAGGGGAGCTACTGCAGAATTGCTGTTCTGCATTATTCTAAAAAAACAAGTGCAAGAATCTTGCACACAGTGGGAACTGGGGCTGCTCAGTGTGTTTTACAGCTGGATCTGTGTAATTACATCATATTCTAGATAATGTCTTTCTTTAACGTGTTTAATCTCAAAGTATGTGTTAGGGGTTTTTTCATTAATGACAGTCTATGACTGGTTATCTCATATCTCCGGTCTGATATTTTTTACTGTGAACTTTGCCTGTCTTACAGCCTTGCCCTGCCAAGCACATACTCTTACTCTACCACTTTGAACTCCAAGGATCTCAGAAAAGACTGATTTTTTTTTTTCTCTGATCTGTGGAGGAATTACTAAAATTCTATATAATTTGCTCTAAGAGGTAAGAGGACTTGAAGAGCTCTAATATTACAATTTTTTTCCTCTGGGGAGATGTGAAGATTGGTCAATGTGGTCACAGAAAACTGACCATCACATCCTTAGAACTTACATATTAAGACGGCAAAATATTTGGTAGTGAAAAAGCAAAATGGTCTAGAGTAGCAGTTTCAATTTATTTCAAGTATTGATTTCAACATCCATTTCAACACTCAGGAGGTGGTATCTGTAGCTAAGACATCCTGGTAGCACATTTTTGCACCCTACCAGAAAGTGCCTACTGTCCCTTCTGTTTCAAATGTCACCATTACTGTGCTCATATTCCCTGAATTAACAGCAATAGCACTATGATTTTCTGCAGCATATCAGAATTATTAAAATGCAGCACTTGCGGTTGTGTTCTCCATGACAATCAAGTTACTGCAGATTCATTAAACAACGGTGAAAAAAATACCTCTGGAGTGCCAATCTGCCATAAAAAACTGTAACTAATCTACATTGATGGACCAAGACTCACTAGTTCCGTACATATACAAGTGAATGGATAAGAACTTACTCTTATTATGTTAATTTAGCATCCAGTTACTTGCATTCCTGCACTTACCCACTTCCTTATTGCCAGGCCACAGCTTTCCTGAGCAGATCTCTCTTTTCAGTCACAAGCACTTGCTAAACTTATTTCTGTGAAGCATCTTTTCACCTCAGTACAACTATCTTGCAACTAGTTGACCTAATCCAGTTGTGCCTTTTTTTTCTGGAGTCTCTTACCTGAACTCTATTAAGAAAAAAAACTCCTTTGCACAAAATGGCGGCCATTTCCCCAAACACAAAATGGTGGCCATTCCACAAAACGGCAGCCGCTTCCCCAAACACAAAATGGCGGCCATTTCCCCAAACACAAAATGGTGGCCATTCCACAGAGTGGCAGCTGTTCTACAAAATGGCGGCCGTTTCCCCAAACGCAAAATGGTGGCTGTTCTACAAAATGGCGGCCGTTTTCTTGCTTAATGCCCTGCCTGCAGTTTCCCCAGACACAAAACTCCTCAGTTTTCTGCATCCACTTACAACAACCTCGTCACTGCTCCTGGCACTCTGAATAAACAGCTCACTTTGGTGGGGACCTTGAAACCACACCTCCAGTGAGACATTCAGAATGTATTTTATTTACCATTTTTAAAACTCTGCTTTAATCTGTAACATGTTCTCTGCATATTCCCTGCCACACAGACTCACTTTGTTCCACTCTTCCATTGCCTAATGCATCTTAGATGTATTTTTTTTAGATACATATTTTTACAGTCCAAAAAATTGCAGTGCTAGTGAATGTTGAACCCCAAGCAAACATTTATGAGAAATGTGACTCAAGGAACACTCCTACAGACATGGTTATTATATGTTAAATCATAAACTTCCTGAGAATCAAATATAAGATGCTCACACTGAAAAGGGACAAATGCTATGCTTGATTATATTAACAGTAAGAGCATGTGTCAAAACAGCACAATAATCCTTCTGCTCGGGCTTCAGCAGCAGGACTGATTGGATTCAGTTTGGGACATGATATTTTAAAAAGACAAATTGAAAACCGAGAAGATGAGAACAACAAAGATGACAAAAATGGCTTAGAAAATATGATTCAGGAGGGTTTATGCTTTGCATTTTTTCACATGCATAAAGAAAATTGAACCTGAGAAATATCCCTGAAAGAAAGATGGAGTGAAAAAAAACATGGCAGTTTCCTCCAATGCTAAAGTTGCTGTGTTTATCACTTTCTCTTTAATAATTTGACAGAAGAAAAATGAACAAGAAGAAAAGTGAGGTTATCTTCCCATTTGTTATGACACAACATCGTATAAAGGTGTCATAACTATGGGATGTGAAGAGGTACACACTAAAGGAGATCTGAATGCTTGAGTATTTTCATGGGGACGCCGTGGGGAGATCTCTATATTCTGTGGTTGTAAGGGAGCACCTATTCACTATTTAATTACCCACCCTCCCTATACAGCTAAACACAGGGCTGAATAAAGGTCTTGTGTTTCCTGAAAGGGCACTATTTCTTTTCTAGTATTTCCAAGTTCTTGCATAATGATCAACATCATGATTAACATTTTAAAGAAAAATAACTTCCCTCACAAAATAAAAAATATAGCCAGAACACTTTTTTTTTTCCTTCCCTCCTTTCCCCACAAATATTTCCCAGAAGAAAAATAAAAATAAAATTAAAAAAAAAGGTGTCCAGTGCTATCAAAATTAGACCCTGAATGTTTCATCTTGTAGTAAAGAACTGAAAACAGCATGAACAACCAAGGTCAGTCGCTCTGGTCAAGATGGAACGAGCTCTTCTGCTCTGGCACCCCAGGGACCATTTGCAGGTGATGTTTAACAGAGCTAGTGACGAATTCAGGCTGTGAGGTCTCCACGGTCCCGCTCCCTGCAGGAAAATTAATTGCAGTGGGGAGGAGTGATAACAGCAGCAGTTCACTCAGAAGCTGGATTTCTGGAGCAGGTTTAGTGCCGAGGGCACTTTCAGGGGTTTCAGCTCCCAAACTTCATATGTTTCTAGTAAATGTCCGTAAAATGGGATTTTTCAGAGACTGGTGACTTGATAGGCAAATTTCATAAAGATAGAGAAAACTCATCCCAGGCAAAAGATTGTTCCTCTGATCCTAAACCTCTGTTCCACCATACAGAGGATATGAGACCATTTGGATTAAATGGTTATATGATTTTATTAGCATGGGTAATAAGAATTTTTCCTTAATTCAGAAAATGGCTATTTTAGCTGAAATAGCAGGAAAAAGATATCTCAAAGGGGACAGTTTGTATATGGCAGAGAGAAGGAGAAAAGGTCACATGCATTTTAAAGCTACAAAGGACCTGAAAATAAGGTCTTACGGTAAAAAGTGATAGAGGACTGTACCAATAAGGAGCACTAAAAACTCTTCCATTCCTATTTATGGAATACCAATTACCTGAGGTAAATATAACCACTTAGAGACTTTTCAGGCTTAAAGGCCGAAAGGAAGCAGTCTAAACTGAGTGGAAATCTAACTTCAGGTTAGAAAACATTGACCCGAAGTTAGCAATATTCACTACTGGGTTTTGGTGAGGGTTGTTTGGGGTGTTGTTTTTTTTTTTTTAAGAAATATATGTATGCAAGACTAATTTATGCATTAAGAAATCCTTTTTTTTTTTTTTTTTAATATTAGACTGCCATTTAAATTTGGATTTTCATATTACGTGTGAGAGGTTTTCAGACCGGGGAAAAGAAATCCATCCCTAATTCTGTACCCACACGTTGTCCCCTCCTCACCCAGCTTCCCCCACGCTGACACTTGTGTGATGCTCCCGTATTTACCTTCGGCTACCGGAGGGGACAAGAACATTAAGGAGTGCAAATGCTCAGACTAACAGCAGCAACAGATGTTTATTGCTTCTGAGGAGCCTACTCCCCCAGCACTAAATTAAGTGGTTTAAAATAAACAGATAATAAAGCAGGAATGGCACGCCATAGATCTGTCATACGTAAAACAATGTAACCACCTGGTAATTCCTGTGTGTTTATTCAGCGCTGGCACTGTAAACAACCTGATGGGGAATGTTTGTATTCCTAATATCCAAGAGCAGACAAGTAGCTCTAATGCATCACAGGGTTTAATGAATAAATGCCTGACTGCAGGGCCTGAAAATGAGTCTCAGAAGATGAAAAGCTTAATTTTTAAGTCACTACTCGTAAAAGGTTAAATATATATAGTAAGAAAACCTAAACCAGGAAATTGACAATTACTTAGCAAAATATAAAATCTTTTAGATGCTCTGTAACTTCAGACTGGGACAATTTCTGCAATTATTTCACTGCTCTCTTTTGAAGACTGCTGCAAACTTTGCCCTGTTTAATGATTAGAAATCCACTTCTAATTTTCAGAGTAGATTTATCTATGGCTCGTTGAAACATATTTGTGTGTCTTCTGCCTCTAGTGTCTTCTGATACACCTTTAATATGTATATAATATTGTGTGTCAGTCTCCCCCATGTCTAAGCCTGTCAACACATTTTGCATTCCCTTTAATGTCCTTTGCATCTCCCCAGCCCCATCTTTCCTCTGTGGGGCACTCAGACTGTATATGGCTCCCCAAGTGAGATCCCATCCACCTTGTGCAACAGTATGAATATTTTTCTGTTGGAATTACCTTGCTGGGCACATTCGACAACCGCATCTGCCTTTTCTTCATTGTTGTGTCTTGTTGGCCTCCCATACCCCTTCTGGTATTTGTAGCAGGTCCTTCTCCTTCTCTGTCATTTCCTCCAGATCATCTGTTCAGTTTCTAATCTAAATTCTTGTTACCTGTCAACAAGAAAATATTTTCTAGTTTTATAAATGCCATTATTTCAGTTTCGAAGATATTTCAGTTCTCTATGAATGAAATCCCAATTTTCTGTTTGATTAACCATGCCTCTGATTTTATTCCCTTTTTATACACTATTTATTTATTAGATTAAAATATACTTGAAAACTTGTTTTAATAATCTTTGCAAAATCTAGCTTTAACTTTTGTCAAACCTGTTTTTACCCCTGTGTTTGTTGATCTCCACACTATAACTGTTTTCTTCACCAATCCATTCTTTGGGCATTCTTCTTGAATCCTACACTCCTCCGGAAATGATCATCTCATTATTTTTAGAGCTCTTTGAACATTTTCCCTCCCCTTTCCCACACTTTTTATATACATTTGTAATAGATTTTTCTCTTTTGACTCAAAGAAATTCCGGTCTTTCCCCATTTATATCCTCCCAATTGACTTCACACTAAGAGCTCCCGTGAACCAAAATATGTCCTGTTAAAGCTGACAACTTCAATCACAGTTATGCTCTTGCCCATAATTCTTCTCACTTAAAATGAGCCAACTCATACTTAATCTGGATTCTGTATACTTTTATCTCTCCCATTTTCCTGAGCCATGTAAAACCTTCGACACCCCTGTTACAGATGTTATTTCATCATTTTACTTTTTTCCAGTGGTATAATACTATATATTTTAATGAATTGACTAAGAGCTCCCATTTTGTTCCATAGGGTCCTTGAATGAAAAGGTAGCCTCTTATTCCTGCTGACATCGCTGGGACTATTTATCTGACTGCCATTCTCATTATTAATAATTTGTGCTGTTTCCACGTTGCTCCTTCTCCCATCCAGTAATATTTCATTTTCCATTGTCATCAAGAGATACAGAAGTTAAGAAAAACTTTCCACAATCACCAGCCTTTATATCCTGAATATCCTGTCAGTCACAAGCCTCCAAACACGGCCTGAACCTCTCAGCCCATATGCAAGGACAGATCACTTCTCTAGTGCTTCTTCCAACAGCCCAGTTAGTTTTCTCCGTGTTTTTATGCATTTCCACAAGCACTAAATGTTTCTTATTGAAATTTCCAAAAAATAAGAACAACAATAGTCAAAAATAGTGTTCATTTAAAAGCTAATTCCACTTAGTTCTTGTCACAACACAAGCACTATAAAGAGAAAACAGAGATAAAATTAATACAACACATGAAAGTAATTTTATTTCTCTTGGTTTAGTTTGTAGCTGAAAAATAATTTTATCCATGAAAGAAAAAAAAAAACAGATTTGGTTTTCACTAGAATTTGGAAAGCCAGTGAGAAGAGAAAAAGTTATCGGCAAGAAAAAAAAACTCTACTACAATAAGACAATTCCAACAGCCTTTCCTGTGAATCCAGTGATCTGTTTACCTAATTATTGCATTATTAGGGAAACAATGCTGCTAGGTTCCTTTACCACTGAATTCGACTTACACTGACTCTTTTCTTAGTGATGTTGATAATAGAGTCTGGTCTGATTGCTCATTAATACTTTACTCTTCCCCTTTAAGGACAACAGAAAGATAATTTTTTAAAATTTTCTACAAGTCAATCCAGACGAAATCCAGACTATTTCTACCCAAGTGTTTAACACACGCAAAGACAAATTCTGCCAGTGCTAGGTACTGTATTTTCATATACACATGGGTGAAGAGAATCAAATGAGATTAGAACAGCAACAGCTGGAAAATATCCAAAGATTTGCTTTCCTCCTTGGTGTACTCATGGGTTTGAACTGTGTGTATTGGTATTTTTCTCTGTTACTATTTTTTTCTCTCCTTATTTGTTACTCAGCTTCTTTTTCATTCCCGTGTGCTGTCCCTGAGCTCTGTTGCAAATGCCTGGTCTAATGTTCAGCTTTGCATTATTCAGCTCTACTGATTATTTCCATCTCGAGATACACAAAATTTACAAAACTGACCAAAGAAGCAAACAGGAGGAAACAGGAGACAGGGTAGAACCTCAGGCTCCTGAAAGAACACGCATGATTTGATGGAACTCTGTTCTCATACTCCTGATGCACTTCTTCAGATAAAAAAACTGGAATTGCACACCTTGTTCTAGATGTGGACATGTGTTTTCATATTCTTGATTCCTTTCCTGATAGCCTTTAGTGTTTGATTTTCCTTTTTACCTTATTCGGTGAGTGTGATTAAAGGAAGCAAAAATCAAAGTACAGTGAAGGCATTTGTAATGGAACATTTCAGAGAAGTAGAAAGCAGTCATTTCAAAATTTAATTCCTTAATCAAAATTCAAGACTCTAGAGCTGTCAGCAGCCATGAATGTTTTTGAAATGGATGACAAGATGGTATACTATCAACAGATACTCTCCTATATTGCAAAAATAAGGATAATTTATTTCAGAGTGGCACAGCCAGCAGACTGAGGAAAGTTATTATATACTCAAGGCAAAATAAGCCAAGTGTGCTTTACTTGCTTGTTTTCCATTTGGCAGATTTTAAATTCTTTTGACAACAGCAGAGAAGCTGAGAATAGAACTCAATTTGGGAAGCTGATTGGAGCATTATTTACGAGCAAAAGAATAATGTTAACTGGTTATCTATGTATTATCCCATAAATTTTTCAACCTAATTGTGATACCTACTTCAAGAAAAATACTAAAAGAAGGCAGAGCTTGTTTGGTTTAGCTTTAAAATCTTCCATGTCCCATGGATAACGACCGATGCTGTTTCCATGGAGAACAGTCCAGAACTTTCCTCTGTGATAGCTTCCTGTATAATGTACAAATTTTAAGCCAGCAGTGTGCTTTTAGGGATTTAAGCCTAATACTGCTTCACAGATTAAATAAGAAAATAGCATGAATTTCTGTCATTCAAATGAATGTGAATAGGTAATATCTTTGTACAGATCCTGGTAAATTTTCTAGCAGATTAAAATAATTTGATTGCAAAAACCTTTAAAATTAACCTAGTTGCTTCTGCATTAATGAAAGAATTTTCCCTCCAATGCAGTTGTTTTCATCAAATTCTTAGCTGCATAAGTGAAGAAAAACATTTTCATATAGCGAATAAGAGCTCTGCTGCCAAGAAATCTCACTCAATTTGACTGAAAAGAATATTTTCTAAAAATGTACACTTTATTTTTCCTACAAATATCTATATTTTTCACTGGCTCTAATGGCATCTTTTTTGCTCCTTTGACAATTTTTTGCCACTTTGAGGTCAGAAGATTCCAAGCCTTGGAAACTGTGCAGCTCAGGCTTTAGTTTCTTAAGACAACTTACTTTAGACGTAAAAAATACCCACAGCTGATGGACTTTGCCTGCTGCTTCTTAGCTCATTTTGTACAAAACCACAGTTAGAAACTGCAACTTCATTCCAGGCAATGGAAACTTTTCATCTCTACCAGTAGGGCCAAGATTCCACCTACACATTTTCACTTAACAGACATTCTGTAGAGTCCTCCAAATAAACCCAATTACGTTCTACACACAGAACACGCCAGGACAGAATAGTTAAAAATTAGAACGGCCACTTTCACACCCAAAAAGCACAAAAAAGCTGGTACAAAGCCTTACTGATGCAAAAGTCATGTCCCTGATGCAAAAGAACAGCTGATGCTCTGTCCTAAAATTGGTTGTGGGACTTAATCATCACCAAAGAGCTCTACTGGATTTAGGTGAATGCACTAAGCTACAAATATTTTCCCTAATACCATTCCAATTATGGAACTTTAGTGTAGCAAAGAGAGGGAATTTCAGGGTAGGTTTTAAAAAAGAAGGATTAAAAATTTGACACACAAGGAGTGGGCAACCACTTCAAATCCAGAGGGAAAATTGCTGACCACCCTTTAAAAAAAAAAACCCTAGACAGTACCAAAAAATGCAGTAACTTTTCTCGGGATACAGATGGCAGCACAAACACCGTGTGTTGGGGCAGGAAGGGGAATGTTTTTGAAGAGAGGTTGGGAAACACAGCTGGAATTGTTTGCTGGAGCTTGCCAGCTTAGCCAGGGGTAGGAAAATGGGCTATTTTTTCTGAAGTTCACTGACTGTGCAAACTCTGAGCTTGATAACATTGCCCATTTTTCTTGCTTTATGCACATTGATTTCCAATCCACAAAGCTTTGGGTGTTCCCATTTGTCTTCCAAGGGGAAATCTATCAGAAACATTGTTGTCCTCTCCTTTGAGGGAAAGGAAGAAGGAAGGAAGATCAACAAATACCTTTTTTCCCCGTCCTTTACCACTGCAAGTTGGGCAAGAGCAAATTAGGGAAACTCCTGCTCATTATGGAAAGGAAGGTGTGACATTGCTGAAGTTGGCTGGGAGTGGTTTGTTTGGGGTTTTTTAATTGAGAGAAATGTGCAGTTCATTGCAGAGTTCACTGATTTCAGTGGAAAAGGTGACAATGGAAGAATGAAAGAAAAACTACAAAAAAAGAAAGAAATGTGGTAAGAGCAAAAGAGGTACAGAAAGAGAAATTGGAAGTGTAGAAAAGGCTAAATGTAAGGAAAAAATATGTCTTTCTCCTTAAGCTGATTGCTTTGGCCTAGTTATATTCTGATATAATCTCACTGGTTACACAAATTTGTACTTCAGCATAACTGTAATCAGACAAATGACATATTATCATTTTTATTTATATTTCTGGGGTTTTTTTATCTTAATTGGGGTTTATCCCCTACTGCCTTCAATAGTCCCTTGCTGACATTAAGGAATAGTGAGCATAAGGCACACATTGCTTCCTAAATCCACAAATAAGTAAAGGTAGTAATAAATTTGTCCCCATAATTAAACAAAGGACTGACAAAATGACCTTTAGAGACTCCATTACTATTGACAAGCATGAGAGGTTTCATTACCCACAACATCATTAAAAATGTTACTCTGACTAGAGAGTAGCAATCCCAACAAACTTCTGTTAATACTTCTCTTTTTTGATAATATCTTTAAAAGTGTTTCTTCTTACAGCACTCATAGAATGAATCACTCTCGCATTTCAAGATGAAAATAATTCTCTCTCCAAGTACCTGAGGCCCACAGCTTGTAATGTTGGGTTTTCTTAGGAGACAAACTCCATTTATGTGAGCCAATGAAGAGAGCTGCCTGTCTATAATGGTAGAAAATCATACCTTTTGTTTCCTTTGGCTCTAGCAGGCAACACAAGGCTGAAAAAGATGAATTTACCACTGGAGAATCACATCTGTGAACGCAGCAAGCAGAAGCACCACGTGGCAATGAGCACATCTTACACATTCCGGGCTGAACTCATCCAGACATCACGAGAAAAATCCAGGAGACCACAGAACGATTCCTAGTCCTTTGCTCAGGAAGCATAGATTTGTTTTCATTTTCTGAGGAGAAGAATACATATTTCTCCATCAAACAGGGACCCGAAATGAAAATGGTTGAAAACCAAAGTGTAAATTCAAAATAATAGCAGTGGCTCTGATAAAACCTTAGCAGGCAGTATAAAGCCCATGAACAGATAAACTTTAACATGGAAGTATCCAAATTATTTCAGCAGAACTCTTCACAACTTGTTGCACGAATCTTTAAATACATTTTAAGGTGAAAACACAGAAAACTGCCTGAAAAGCACAAAGAATTTTTTTACAGCCATTTAAACTGTAATCTGACAGTTAAAGCAACAGTGAACAAATAGGATTCTTAAAGCTAAAAAATCATGTCTCAGCTGAAACTAATGGGGGTATCACTGAGATCAGGGTTCAGAGCAGTAGTTTATAAAATACTAAAATATATTCATTTCAAATATACTGCAGAGTCTAGATTGTCTTCTTTCATACTTACATTAAAATCTTCTATCAAATACTTCACCAGACAATTCCACCAGGGCTAAAATATTCAACAGGAAAGACAAGGGAGTAAGGTTCAGAGTAAACATGGAGCTCTGAGTGACTGTTTTCCCAGCTATACCTGTGTTCTCTTCTACCTCTATGTTACCATCAACTAACGCTTGAATCAAGTTATCTGGGTCTGAATCATCTGGCCCACAGGTCTTTCAGTGTAATTTTGACAGAGAGTTTTAAGAAAATTCCAATTACTCTGAAACTCTTCAGTAAAGTATCTTCATTTAAATATAGCAAACATATTTCTGCTACCAGCCTGCGGAACATAATGATTAATTCTTTCAAGTTTTCGGTGAGCACCATCTGGCCGTCGTGATTGTTGCTATTTTACTTATCAACGTGTTTTAGCAACTTTTCTCCTGACAATTTGGGCTTTGACAGTGTCTCTCTGCCTGAGAACACGGGGGACTTGGTATTCTCTCCACGTTTGTGTTACCCACGGCGAGTGCTGGATACTGTCGAGCAAGATGGGGAATGTATCGGCAAGGTTTGTGTGGGGAAACAACTTCAGATGGTGCTTTCTCCAAAGGAAGGGGGATTCTTCACATCCAGCAGTGGAGTGCTCTTCCTAGAGGTGTCGGGGTACCCACTGAACGAGTCTGGGAAGGCATTTCCTCCTCAGTGAGTAAAACTTGCACTGAGTGCAAAACCAGAAGAGCTTTGGAACAGATGGGAACCCCCATGTCAGAGCAGTCATTTAAGCCCAGGAGATCCCTAAGTTTGAGAAATAGTAAGAGGAGTGTGAGAAATTAGTTTTTAGGAAGAGAGGTGACCAATCTGAAATAGGTGAGGAAAGAGGAAGCGAGGTGTGAAGCTGCAGAAAAACGTCCAATTAAAACAAGTAAACTTGCAGTTGATTATAGGTACAAGCTAAAGAAAACCCCCAAAACTGTACGCAAATTGTTCTGAGGCCACTTCAGGGTTTTTTGGACAACATTAAATCAGGTCCGTTCCTGGTAATTCCTTTAGAAATCTTCAGCTCATTCAAAACAGTGACTTTTACACACTCCTAGTGACACCTATGGATTCACAAATGTTAAATACAATCAATTACAAAAAGGGTTTTCAATCAATAGGTAGAGAAAGGGAACCCTTCTCCTCTCAGGCATCAAACACCTTTGCTGTGAAAGCTGACTTTATTATAGTGCACTGTATATTTTGCCTTGGGCTGGATTGTGAATATCAGGTATTTTAGGGAACTAAGACCAAAAAGAATTAATGCACAATGAAATTTAGGAAGAAACATTTCAGACAAATGCCGTTGTTCAGAGAACATCATTGGTTGGGTGAGAATTTGTATATCTTTTGCTTGAAAAAGTTTTTGCAAAAGAAATAATACATATGCACTTCATTTTTCATATTTGCATGATGATCATTAAGCAGAACAGCATAGAATCCTCACTGTAATCCATGATATGGTACAGAGGGAATCATTGCATGCTGCTATATTTAACTTTTTTGTGTACTTAGATCTCTGCTTTCAACTAATATTTAGCAGCAAGAGTCTGTGTCTACTAAAAGATAATGTTTTAAATTACATATTTCCAGGAAAAATTCCACACTACCAATCACCACCTACTGTTACCAAGCAACTTGCCATCGACAGGGCAAATCAGAAGAACACGTGAAGAACAGTCTAGAAAACAGGGAATAAGGGCTTGGTTCAAACCTCTCAAGGAATCTACTTTTTCAGCATCATCAGAAAAACTTCACAGTTTTTCTGAGGCACCATCTTAAAAGTGCTGTGAAATAAAAGCTGCTCTTAAGCCTGTTACAAGACTTCATTAGTCTTTTATTGTTTGTATGATCAGTTTGGAAGCAGAACAATTCCTCCACTATCTATAATCCTGCAGTATTAAAGGAGTATGAGCCTCTTGTGGAGGATAAATCATAAAGATGTATTGACAAAAAGCAGATTAGATTTTTTGTTTTCTTTTAAATTTATCCGAGCTTTGGGTCAAAACTGAATTTCATCAGATTTTGAGTGAAGCAAGTCAAGGTGGTTCAAACCAGGTAGGGTCAAATTTCTTTCTCAGCAGTAGCATCTAGCAGGGTTTGTAATGTGAGCATGTCTGAGTGGAACAACTTTTTTGCTTTCCTTTTTAATGAAACAAATAAAAAAAATAAAAATAACACATGGTTATGATTTAAAATGGGGTTTTGTTTTTTTTTCTTCTCCTGGAAAAAGAGAATTGAAACCGAGTAAGAAAAATAAACAATGTTTACATCTATATTAATGCTTTAATATACTGAGCCTTTGTTAAGTTTAAGCCTATTCCTTTAATAATCGCTAGAAAAACAATTCTCCACCTAGAAGCCAAACTGCAGAGAAGGAACAACAAACAAATTTGCACCTCTGTCATCAGACAATCCTGTAAAATTAATTTTCATACCAATTTGGCAGTTCTTTCCTTCGGTCCTTACTCAAACCACTTCTCTGCTAACATGAACAGCTCAGCCTGATAAGGCCTGCAAGGGTTTACCTCTCCTGCCTGCACACAACTTCTAGAAAACAAAGATAATAACTTTTAAAGTCAAATCACTGATTCTGACAGCACATTCCTTGCACCAAATACAGGTGTTACAAAAGAGACTTGGTAAGAACATATATTTAAAACACGAAAGGCTAAGAATTTAAAAGATACATATACCAGATATTGAAATATCACATATATTCAAAGGCCAATGAAACAAAGTGCTTAAAAAGCCTAATGTAATCCCAGACTTTAACTGCACAGGCACCTTCCAAGCCTTTCACATGGGAATTCACAGGCTGCCTCTTTGCCAGGCTCTCTGTTTCAGATACAGGAGATATTTTCCCATCTCCCCACCACTCCACAGACAAAAATTTTTGGAGAGTAACACCTTCAATATGTAGGAAGAAGTTTAACAGGAGTATGGTGTGATACATGAGGCAAGAATTTAGTCTTCCCTAATTAAGAATGAAGTCCTAAATATACTACAGCCACTATGCTTTTTTCCTGTGTCTTAGCTGCAAATTAATTATCTCGGCCAAGGCTCATTTCTAATCTTTGGGTTATAGCAGAATCCGGTTTTAATGAATACCTGGAATAAGCAGTTGTCTTGTATTTTCAGAATTTTAACTATTTGACTTTCCTTTGGTTTAGAAGTCTGAAATCACACACATCTCCCTCTCAGGGCTGCCTGAGGATTAATAAAAATCAACTTCAATCATCCTCATGCTGATTTTTCCCAAAACATATTAGGAACTAAAACCAGAACTGTGTAGATGATACAAATTATCCAGGATTCCAGTCCTGAGCAAAAGCACATCCTGTGGTTCGTGTAAAGGAATTTAGAAGATAATTGCTATCCTATTTCTCACTCTACATTGAACTTTCAACTGCTTGAACGTAATCAGCCTGATTGTTCTTGAGCATTCACTCGAGTAGAAAATTAACTGCTTGCAAACAATCTGCCCCAAACTCTGGACACTGGTGTAGCCACAGATTGCAAACATTATCTAATAACACAACTTTCCCTCAATTTCATTTCTGTTCTGCAAAAAACACTACAAACTGCTTAAAAAAAATCCCTTGCTTCTCTGCTTCAGTCATAGTTTAAGTACAATGATCCTATATTGTGATCCTTGTATTATGAATGAGGGGGAAAAAAGACCTAGTAAATACATTACAAGTCTTAAGGAAGGATATGTATATTTATATACCCAGTTTCCCATCCTTTAAGGCTGTCTTAACAATGAGTTATGATGAAAAAGCAACTAAATATTCAATTGTATATATGAGAAATAAAGTCTCAGGGCGATTAACAGACTTGTCTGTTAATAACACAGTAAATATTTTAGTAACATCACTACAAAAATCCAGATCTTTGAGTGCTAAAGCTGTTTCCTATTAACTTCATTTAACCTTTCTGAACATCTTTCCTCATCCACTTACCCTCTCTGTTTCTAGCTGAAGATATAATAAGGTCCAGAGGCTTCCTGCTTTTGAGGAGGGTTCATCTTATTTCCTTAATTTTTAAGTGGAAAGGTAGCATTTCAACAAAAGCAATTCCAACACGTTCTCAGAATATCTTGCTCTGGGGTTTCCAGGGTTTTGGTTGGTTTGGTTTTGGGCTTTGGGTTTTTTTTTGTTTGTATGGCTTTTTTAGGGGAGAGGTGTTTATTTTTAAAAGGCAACCTTTTCTAATGGACACCTTCCATAATGTATGCAGGGGGAAAAAGAAAAAAGAATATGCTTGGAAAAACGGCTGGCATCCTGCTGCACAAGAGTTATTCTAAAAGTCTTATGGCCTTGTTTTCCAGCTACCCAGCCACGTTGTAGCTGGAATGCCTCCTGATGATTTAGAGCAACTAGATATAAATACATAAAAAACCAGATGCCCAGGATGACAGAAGTTTTAAAGGTAACCAGCTGGGAAATTGTTTTGAAAGGCAGGGAAGAGAAAAAAACCACAACAAGAAGTTAAGTTTTCTTTGGCCTGCTAAAGCATTA